GCCCCGAGAGCCGGTCCAGGCACGGGGACCGGCACGTGGCGGGGCTGGCTACCTTCTCTCAGTCACACCACCCACAGAGTGCCCCGCGAACCCTGGGGGTTGCAGGAAGCGCCCACCCCTGCCTCCCCTCTTCGGCCCACCCCCATTCCACCACCTCAGAAGGGCCCCAGGCCGTCAGTCCAGCAGAGGACTGAGAGAACGGGGTGGTTGCTTCTGGGGCAGCTTCACCCCCTTTCCTCCCATCCATAACTCGCTCTTGACGCCCCGGTCCCGCAGCCAGCAAGCGGATCTGGCAGGCCTGCAGCACGGCCAACCCACACCTCGACGCTGCCTGCGGACAGTCCTGCGCCCGCGGCACGGAGGAGGAGGAGGAGGAGGAGGAGGTCACCTGCCCTCACCTGAAGGGCCAGCTAAAGCGGTACTTGATCAGCTTGCTGAGGATTTCCTCACACTTCTGCAGCTCGAGGTTTTGGCGGCGTGCCGTCTTCTTTGTTTGAAGGACCTGCCCACACAAAGGATGCTGTTAAAAGGAGGGAACCACTGCGGGCTTTAGCGTTCCGCCAACAGTTGTGAGGCCAAAGCAGCTGGTTCTTAGCAGAGCTTTTCTCTCCAATCCTCTCACTTAGGAGCTAGTGTCTCAGTGGTTGGGTACACGTAGTACTGCTGCAGAAACAAAGTTCATCTTTCAAATGCAGCCATCTTCCCCAAGAATCAAGAGGCAAACTGCTCCGCTGCAGGACCTTTGATGGTAACAGCCGAGACATGCAGCGGCAGTTTGAGTTAACAGGACGGGAGCCCCATCCAGCAGCTCTGGTGGGAATAGCTCACAAGCAGCCTGCCTTTCCTCTGGGGGCAGCGAGCTTTTTCAAGACAGGTTCAAAGACAACGTGGTCAAAACAAGCAGCCAAAGGATAACTGACAGCAAACGGAACGTGTAAATCCCCCCCTCGCTGCCTGCTGCGAGCCCCTAGCGGGCAGCACGCGAGAGGCAGAGGAAGAAAGCACTTGTGCTGCTGAACTGACACCGCGGAGCCGACCGTGCCGGTTGGAATACCGGCGAGCAGCTGGTGCCTCCAGCACCGCTGCCCCGCGCACGGGCTGAGCACAAGGGCAGCCATTCCCCCCGGAGGAGCCGCAGCAGGACGGCCACCAGCACAGGGACATCCCCCCAGCTCCGAGGGCGCAGCTCGGGAAGCAGCGGAGCTTGGGGTGTGTCGGAGGACGGGAAGGCTCCCCAACACAGGGCACTGCTCCCGAGCCAGCTTCGGTCTCTTCCCAGAGCCGAGGGTAAGGGGAAGAGCCCTCGCAGAGTCCTCTTCCCCAGGCCAGTGTTTGGTCAGAGCCCCTGACGCAGCCGGTGCAGCAAGATTCCCCCCCCCACGTGAACACCCCTCCAAGGAGGCTGTCGCAGCCCGCGCTGGGCTTGCCGGTGGGGTGGCCCTCCAACCCGTGACACAGACCAGACCCAACGGACCTG